TAATCCACGCCGACAACACTCGAACGAAGACCAATACCATGACCAGGAGTTTACCATAACAGTAACACATATATAAAACTTATATGTGTATATATGTATATAAGTAATATACATATAATCATCTAAAATATATAAACCCAAGCATCAAAGTATACAAGATACTATGGATCTATTAAATGGCCATATTAAATTTTTGTTATATGATCGTCTAGTTTGATTAGGACCTTATTGTTAACATTACGTTGTGTTTTAAATAAATAAGTAAGTAGGTAACCCGCGATTCTTTAAGAGGTACGTGAGATAATCATATAAATATAGTGATGTGCTGTATAGATTTTTTTTCAAAAAGACATGTAAATATATTGGAAGGGGATTAAGGAATAAGGAAAGGATGCCCACCTCATGTAAAAAATTATATTTTGAGGTATACGAGGCCCCCACAACAGTCTGCTTGTGTAGATGTTATTTCACTACAGACCACCTCCGCTCACGTATCGTGTATGACGCGCCGGTTACACTATATATGAAAATTATTTGAGTTTGAATTACTGCAGTGTTCCAATGCTGACGTATCGACGCCTTACTTTCTTAAACTCGTATGTTATAAAGAGTGTGATTAGTCAGGAGAAGGCAAAACTTTCTATTTATTTTAAATTTCTTATAAAGGGATGTTATTTTGATGCATTACTTTACGAATAGATAAAAAGCCACTGTGTGAATATGAAAGAACCGTGATGTGAACTCAGCTTGCAAAATTTGTACATACAATCCAATACAATTCAATACAATAATAACGTATACTCTCACGCATAGCCCCGCACTAGGTAAATTCTCTCTCTGCAACTGTTGTGGGTTGGCGTGTCGCTTACCACCAGGCGCACGACCCACTTATTCGACTTCTCTCTTAATATCTCAAAAGGGCCGTTCAAGTTAGACGATGTTTAACGAGGCAGAAGTGTTAAGTTACTCATAAACGAGGCAACTCGTTTGTACCATTCGCTTGGTTGGTTTGTCACAACACATCATGTCATAAAAATATCCCACCTCACACCTCATCTCATGTCACACTGGTTCGAATTCAACAAAATAATGCAACAATGATTGGTCCCACGCTACCCGCTTGTTAGCTAATTTTACATCATATGATCATACTACTCTAGTACTAATTAAAATTAGCGTTTATTTATATTATATCATAACACTTAGGTTATCCAATTGATTGATACCGTCAAGTTATGGAAATGTGCTTAATATTCCCTGTCTGTTGAGTCACCGCCGTAAACATTCCTGCCACTACCTCACTTCATTTGAAGGACATTGTACCGCCTCATTTTTCAAATGAGGTACCTCACTCAAACTCATTTTAATTTTTTATGTCCTGGCCTACCCAATACTACGAGGCAGATCGCTTCACCTGAATCGCGCGCAAAGTAGGCGCGCAACTCAAAGGGACGACCTGTACCCTCAAAAAATACGTTCGCCCCTACTGGGACATTGCCAAGAGTCACCAAGGCCCAATAATTTCCTTACTCATTAGATTGAGGCACGAATTGCAATACACATCCGCGGTGAGGTCATGAATCAGTGTGAACAAAACGATAGCGCGTTTCAGGGTACTAGTAATGCCATCTATTGGTGTCAGATGGAACTAAATTTTCATACATTTTGTGTTGCGGACGGTAGCGGCTATTATTTCATTTATTTACTAATTGTTTTCATTATTATTCATATTTCTATTGCTATATTATTTCCTGTAATTAATTCTGTTTCTTACATAATTAACTTTAAGCAATTCACTTTACAATGTATCTGAATAATTATTGTATACTTTAAACTTGAAACGTGATCTATGCAATTGATTGCATTTGTTGTAATTGAAAATATTGTTATATGGAGTTAGTTAATGTAATAAAAAATGCAGTTTGTAGAATAATGAGGTCATAGTTATAGCGTGAACGTGAAGGTTGACCTTGGCGTAAACATACCATGACCTCGTCCAAAGTAGCATGACTTAACGAGCGTGTTTGACTGACGCTAATCGAGAGTTATATCAGGAGCGTAGCCAGTGGACGTCTACGGTCTCTACCTACCCAAGTGAAACGATTTTTTTTATTATTCATCTCAATGAATTTTTTTTAAAGTGTTACTGCTGTACACAGGCCTCCCCCAAGACGTATCCTCCTAAGTCCTCGTGTAGTGATTTAAACGCAGTTAATATGTGAATTATTCCTATATCACGTAAAGGCCTATAAGAAAAAACGCATTCAAATATGGCAATAAACAAGGCGTCTCTCGGCTATGAGATACGGAAATATATTCTTTTATATACTTTTTTAATGTAATTTTCATATTTTACGTATATTTTTGATATTCATTGTTTTCTTGTTTTCTGAGCTGTGCTAACGTAATTTTTAACCGACTTCAAAAAAAGGAGAAGGTTCGACTGTTTTTTTGTATCTAAGTTACGCGATAGCTCGCATTTGTGAACCGATTTTGATGATTATTTTTTTGTTGGAAAGAGGGCGCCTCAGTATAGGTCGCATTTAAATTTGAAAAAAATATTTCGCGCACTTTCCGGTGACCGATTGCAATAAAACTTGGCAAATAGATGTAATTTCACGAACATTTGAGGTCGGTTATTAGTACTCTTTCCTGTTTTTGTTTACCAAAATTATAAAATTTTCACCAAAATTAAGCGTTTTCTTCTCTGCCGTTCTGCCGTTGCCTGCTGCCCATTCCTCTTACTCTCCGGATATCGTTAAAAGATACTTTATATATTGTAGATAGGATATTTTGCTGTATAGAGATATTATATTATTTTTAAAAGTAAGCAATACTGCATTCAAATGACGGAAATGACGGGACGAACAATTCGTGCGCATGATGGCAAACTACACGCCTGTCCATACCTATTTGCAGTGCCACTCAGAGCTTTAAATCGCAAAGATCTGAGGGGCATTGCCACTGCGTCCGTCACCTTGAGACATAAGTTGACAAGTCCCATGTGCCTGTAATTTCACCAGCACCCTTACCCTTCAAAACCGGAACACAGTAATGCTGACATTACTGCTTGGCGGCAGAAATAGGTAAGGTGGCAGTACTATTCTGGACGAACGAGTTCGTAAGGAGCTCTACTGTTGTTGTACCGCTGCATTTTTAATGCACATAAAAGGGTCAATTATAAAGGTTAATTCCGTTTAAGTAACATTTAAGTAATATCTTAAATTAAAGAAACACCGTTCAATTACAGAAATTGCTCATAAAAGAATCTACAATATTTAAAGAGCTTTCCGTCCGGTCCGTGTCCCATATTCTTATATTATTCTATATGACTATAGGCAGAGATTGGTAGGGGGCTAATTCCAATCAATGTGCACCCGTGCACATTGATTGGAATTAGCGGAGTTTTAACGGAGTTTTAGTCATTGATAATGCTGTGTTAGTTGCTTGGTTCTTACAAATATAAAAGCCAGAGTCGACACGCTAAGAACAACCCATTTTTGCCCAAAACGGCGAATACTGAATTTGGTATAATTCCAAACTTATTACAAATTTCGATGTAAAAATCATTTTTATACGAAACTCCACACAATATCCACCTTGCAATCCTGTGGATTCTCAATAAGATTCGATTTTTATGTAGATCGATTCAAGTGCACAGTGCAGGATCTAACGATTTTTTGTACAGAGGTACAAAAAGCGATTTCGAGCATTAATGGGTTTTAACCCGATTAACTAAGTGCCGGGTTAAAACCAGGGCGCTTGCCCATTTCTGGATAAGACATTTTCCTTTTGTAAATATAAAAGATCCGAAGAACCGATTACCGTTCTCAGATAAGGTTTTTTGGACATTGGACATTCTGCAATATTGGTTTTTTTTTAAACTAACATTTTGAGTTGAATCAGTCGTGACCATGCGACCTGTGAAGGGCCCGAAATGTTGATTTGTTTGAAAAAACTAATATACGCGATTTAAATCCAGAAAAATAGTTTCAGTTATTTGTACCAATCGCGCAAACCACGCGAAAACCTAAGAACTCGAACTGACATTTTATTGTTTTTATTATTTTTAAACTACAGACTGACATGAGCACCTTGCTTTATTTATTTTTTTTGTATTTTTGCTTTGTTGCTTGATAGTTGTGTGTTGTCGGTAGTTACACGGGAGATTATTATAGTAGTGGTTCTGTTGGTAGTTCCACGGGCAACAAAGGGTATATTATATTGTATTTCATATTATAAGTAATTGTGCTTATCTCTCTTCTTTTCCTCACTATCGTTCTATATTTTTGCTCATTTCTATTTTTATAAATATAGTTTACATTGTCCACTTCAGACTTGTTAAATTTGTTATTGTAAATATTATTTAGAATTTCTACGACTTTCTATATAAAAATTAAGAAAAATTCATATGCCTTAAGCAAAATCACAGTGAGTAATAATACAGAGTTCTCAATACAGAGTTCTAAAGAACCAACCTCAAAAGTTCGTGGAATCACATCTGTTTGCCAAGTTTTATTGAAATCGGTTACCGGAAGTGCGCGAAACCGGATTTATCCTATAGTTTGCCACCCTTGGAGGTGGAATATTATCTTCAAATTTAATTGGATACTGAGGTACTCTTTCCAACAAAAAAAGAATTATCAAAATCGGTTCACAAATATTACCAGAGTTATCGCGTAACATACATATAAAAACAAATGCAATATAATTGTGAACATCCTCCTTTTTTAGAAGTCAAAGAAATGAAGAAGTGTATCTAAAAGAAATAAACGAATCTGAATAAAATAACGTTTCTGCAATATTTTACCACTAAAAGAATATTCAACCCTCCGAATACAGTTACTAATCGATTTCCCCAAGTTTTCCATAATGAGGAAACAGGGGTGCAGACTGCACTTCCTGAGGGGACCATAATCGAACTGTTTATAGTATATAAGGAGCAGATTCGGGAAAATTCGATTTATCAACTAAATTTAATGATGTTTGTTTCCTATTAGATTATTGAACACGGGCACCACAAACAGACAGATAGAGTCTGATCCGGATAAACCGGATATACAAGGGGACGTAGTACGGGACGTAGGGCGGGATACAACCAAGATTGTGGACGATAAGACTAGCTAGCGCATAGGGCGTAGCGCGACAAAAAGTACACACATCAAAAGTGTTTAGTAATCAAGCTCGTTGAAAATCAGTAATTTTTTTTACACCGATGAATTTTTCGGTCAATTTTATAATTTGAATTTGAAAATTAAATTGGACAAAAAATCCATTGGTTCCAAAACAGATTTTCAGTAATTAGCAATAACGTGGTTGATCCCTGGACACTTTTTATTTCTAAGCAGTGAATATACATCGGGTTTCAGAAAAATACTATCGGCCATAATTGGCTACCTTCTTATTTACCTTTGGTAGCAGTAGAACGAATTGAAAAAGTTCATCTAGGGAAGTACTGCCACCTATTTAAGTAGTAATTTTTTTTATATTAATTTATTCAATTTCAAAAACAAATTTTACGAAAAGGACTCTTCTCTATCGCTAGGTAAAAACTTAGTGGTGTTACCATCTAGCGATGAGCTAACAGTCTCGAAACTTAAATTAACTTACAATTCACTATAATATTAATTAGTACTAGAGGATGTCTACATTGAAATAAGTGCCATAGATATTATACTACAAACCAAGATAAAAACAGTTTTGCATTTCTTGACATCACCCAGCAATGTCACTTAGCACTGTGTCTGAAAGATCGTTCAGAATTTCTGGTAGCATGTAGGCCTGCGCATTCCATAAAAGTCCTCTCTACAAAGGTAAAGTACAAAACTTTTGATACAATAACTTAATACTAAAACATTCCTTTGAGAGAGCTGGAGTTTGCACTAGGAAAAAAACCTGTGTTGCGAATCTCCAGACTATCCACCACCTAAATCTACATAGATGTACTACAACTGTTGTACACTAATAACTTGTTTTTTTTTAAATAACTAAAGAGTATGAGTATTAAGTGTATATTACTTGAGATTGCTAAGACAATATTGAAAAATTGGTCGCGCGCGCGTGCGTGCGTGCGTGCGAGTGTGTGTGTGTGTGTGTGTGTGTGTG